ACCGCCAAGAAGTGACGGCAACAATGGAATGAAATGTTATTGAATTGCAGACAGAGATAGAGACGGACAGTTGAGTCAAGCGTGTGAATCGTTCGTTCGTTGTGAATTATAGCGTTGTTAAAGCGTGACTGTGGAAATTAAGTGTATTGCAAAGTTGTATTGAAAAAGAATAAACCAGTTTTATTTAAGAAAGGACTTGTATTGCTGAAGTTTCTTCGGAAAGCATTTTTACGGAAAATTAACATACGATTAGAGACGTAACAGTATATTTAATTAGCTACACTCATTAACAGATTGATGTAGGTTTTCATTTTCAATCTAGGTAGGAAATTTAATTACTCTGATCGGATCGACAGTTAATATTATAATTACAATCTTGGGTTAATTATCATTGTTATTAGTTGAACTCAAAAATACTTTGATGGTTTCCTGTTGATTTACTGCCAGGTTTATGTGTGTATGTACATATATTATACATTAGATAGGATGCTAGAAGTGTAATACGGTTAATGGAGAAAGTTACAAAAATAAAACTTTATGAATGTAATATATAGTCAAAAGGCCATTAGTTTAATAATGGAGTATATAGAAATTCACACACATTTATAATCATGACACACTTCTGCGAAGTACTTGCCCCATCATGGGTACAAATACAATGTGGCATTTATAATTTGTCTACAAAGCGAAAAAGAGTTTGTGTGTCATGTATGTCTTACTATACCATGATATATTAATTGGTAGTACTAGTAGTATTACTCCCAGAACTTAGACTTTACGTAGTAAAAGTGGCTCACAACACATGAGAAAGATGAGGAAATGACTGGACTTAATCGAAATGAACTGTAGCATTTGTATTATCAGACATATTAGTACTATAAGCTTTAATTATTTTAAATCTGCAATGATCTTTGACCAACCATTGGCATTGTAGTTCAACGTTAAGAATGGAGGAAGGTGGAAAAGAGAATGGCAGAACGGGTGAAAGACGTTTCTCGGGTATGACTATTGTTAGGCCTAAAAGTAAAAATGATTGTACATGCCTTGCTCAATAATTCAAGTAGTAATGTACAATTTTGCTTATCATAGTCAGGTATAATTTTTTTATTAACATTCGAATGAAAGGGGAGGAGACTCCATACTTATGTTACACGTAGTTTAAGAACTTGATATACTTCACGTTTAATATCACATTACAATTTACAGTTTTTACACGTATAAAAATGAGGCTTTTTTATTTACAGAACTTACAAGTTACAGACAACAGGGAACCCTCTTGTCCTTCCACAAAGCCGTACTTGCATATCCACATATAAAAAAGTAAACATTTTATATTAAACCAACCCCCATACTTTTTGGGAAATTTCCTTCAGAAATCCCTGTAAATATAAGTATAAGGTGCTGTTCAAAGTTCTCCACTACTACCCATAGCATTTCATCCTAATATGTCATAAGTCAATCACTGGGGTTTAACCTATCTTTTTCCAAATCTTAAACTTTGGTCCTTTCATCCTGTTATCATCAGAATGTAACACTTAACAGTAATGATTAACAAAAAGAAATCAGATGCCTTTATCTTGCACAGTCTCCCAGACAGTGTTGTAAACCTCAGTAAGGTTATCTCTTTGTTGAGATTAAAAAATGTAAGCGAAGTTTTCAAGCACAAAGAAGGATAAACTTTTTATTAGTTATTTCAGCTTACTAGTTTTGGTAACACTGTTACCATCATCAGGATTTATGAGTACCTCTAAACCCATAAGATAATCATTTATCCCTGCCGTAATCCTAATAGTAATACTCCTCCTCTTAAAATCTTTCCAATAAGTCAGTATCTTTCAATAGATAAGGAGATCAAAACTGTGTACAGAGTAAAGTCTGACTACTTTGTGTTTTGTATCTATATACTTACAGATATAACATCAAATTCTATTAGTTTTACTACTAACTACAGAGCACTGCTTCAATAGCTTTATCAAGTTCTTTTTTTCCTGTTTTGAATTAAAAGTAGTTTATTTTTTTGTTCCCTAATCTGCCTCATGTCATATTTTAACACGTTATTCTAATTCACTAATGGTAAATCTTAAAACTATTAATTGATCCAACACTGTCAAATACTGCAAATGTGTTGTTAGCATCCCTTGCAATCAAATTTCTTCATGGAAACACAGAAAAAGGTTAGCAAGGCTAGAGCCATTACATTCAACCTGATCATAGATCTTACTGTTCAACATAAAATATGATTGCTTCATCAGAAAACTTAAGTGCATGTTTAAAATGCCTGTAGTTCTGCCATGTACAATTTCATTCTCAGCAAGCACAGTGTTAAAACAAAGATCAGTGGTTTCATCTAGAGGTGTATTTGTAAACATTGACTTGATATCATAACAAGCACAATGAATATCATCATTAAACTGTGTTTGCTTTAATTTATTAACAAATTCAAGAGTAATCTTAACCAGTTATTCATTCTATACATTATTTTCAAAAACAGACTCAAAAATCTTGCTAATGGTTGATTATTGATGTCTGTACTGGAAACAGTTGGTCTAATTAAACATTCCTGATAGTAAACCTTAAGGAGTCTATATAAAACTCCACATTTTGAGCCCATTAACCTGATATTTTGGTAAATTTCTTTTGTAATGATGCAGTCTGATTTTAACTGTAAAAAGTATTTCATAAGTTTGTTTTCCTAATTTGTATGAAATTATACATTTTACATAGATTTAGAATAGCTTCTAATTTGTTGGTGTAATCCTCTATATTTAAAATCACAACCCCATTAATTACGTTTATTTGGTTTAGAGATTACGGTATCCTTCAAAGTTTTTAAAGCTTTGAAAGTCTGAAATTTGTCTTTGCTTAAATTATTATTCTTTTTAGTTGGTCTAAAATCTTTTAACATCCCAAGGGCACAACTAGTGACTTAATTGAGTTTTAACCTATTCAGAAGTTCCACACGTTTTTAAAAATTTAATCCTTATAGACAACTGTTATAAAAAGAAGTTTCAAAACCTAAAATATTATTCTGCAGTAAATTTCTTAGTGAGAATAGAAAACTGTAAACCTTTTTTAACTGCTTTTCTCGATATCAAACAAATGATAAGTCTGCTAAGTTATGAATAGCTTCGTCTAGGTATTTGGATGAAGTGTACACATGTTTTTGCTTTTTTAGGTCATTAACTTTACTTAAATGCTTAATTTCAGTTAAAGCTTTATTATTATTACTGTCGATAATTTTAACTTTCAAATATCCTAGGTCTAGGGGCTGACCCTGTTTCTCAGTTGTTCTAGAACTTCTTCACAGGTTTTATCTTTAATTTCCCAAGTTCAGAAATTTATTTTGAGATTCTGTTACTTGCTGTCTTAATTAAACTGAAATATTTTGGTGTAAGGTGTTCATATATGCAAGTTGTGAGAACATTTTCATGTAAATTTTTGTGTAGTTTCAAATGAACTCTGTAATTTTCTAAGAATTTGTAAAGTGTTCCTACCGTATCTGTATAGAAGAATGTTGGTAAAGCATCTACATATAAGAAACCTTAAAGCCCAAAGAAATTTCAAAATAATTATTACAACTTGAAACAACAGACCAGTTTTTGATTAGGAGTGGCTAGATAGAGGGCAAGACATTGAGTGAAATATGGCGCAGCATACAGGGGATTGACGAGTGTCAAGTCCTGTAACTTAAAACATGTGTCCATTGGGATTGAAATATGAAAAATCATATATAAAAAAAAATATGTATATAACCATGGCTAAATACAGAACATAAGAAAAACTCCTGTGAACATTAAACCCACAAGTTTAAACACCATAAAAACAAAGCAAACATATACAGAGATAAATAAAATTCAAAATTAAACACAACAAAACAGCAACACAAAATAAAAAAATACATATCTGCTAGCATAAAACTGGACATGAAAATATGTATATATAATATTGTGAACTACTATCAATTAACACGAGATTATCAAGAGTTATAGATATATTTTGAAATATTGAGTAGTTTTAGTATCATAGATAAAAAATCTGAGACCAATGGGATTGAGACTGATTTTAAGTTGTAAATGACTTTCTGATATGGGAGCTGAACTCTGGGGACATGACTGCATTTTAAGTTAGTTTATACAAAGAAGACCTACTTTATACTCTACTACAAAGACCTACACAGTATATTTCCATGAAAATGAACTCTTCCATTATAATAAACTAGTTTCGAATGGCAACTTATTTAATTTGCATGTGCATTTTATTATCAGTGTCTAGAAAGGCTATGGGAAATACCCATAAGCATTTTTCGTCCATTTCTGTCTTGGTTGATGTCAGTGGGTTTTTTAGTGTTCAGTTTTCTGTTTGCTATTGAAGAATATTTTAAGGTTTAGTTCTTATGACAATCCTTATTTTGTATAGATCTTTATAGCATTTGTAACTTTAAATTTGGCTGAACCACCTATAATATCAAGGGTACTCAACAACTAGTAATCTAATCACTCAAATGTTTTATAACATACAGTGTATATCATTATTTTAACAGATATTACCTTCATCTCTGCTTTTAGCCTTTTAATCTGTTACTTACTAATTCATCTTGAGTTAAATGTAATTATAGTTTCATCTGTATACCTGTTAGAACTAACTAAATATGTTGTTTATACTGGACTTTCAGTTGGATTTTTTTTAATATTATTAAATGACTTATGGACATTTTGAGAGGTCAGATCTAAATAATTTAGTTGAGAAATGCAATAATTAAATTTTTGTGCAACTCAATTAAGTTCCATAATTTAACAAAATAACTTACTTAAGTTTTAATTCTTCTGCAAGTTATAGGTACAAATCATAGGTATTTTAGCATAAAATATTTATGATTCAACTACACAAACATGCACATGATGTTTATATAACTTAATTGTAACATTGTCTCTAATACAGTTATACTTACTGAATTGAATTTGCATTGATCAGAATTAACTCTAAGCGTAAAAAATATGCAAGTGCTAAAACAGTTACTTGTTAACTATTGATTCTCCATAAAGACTTCATCCTGAATCATCTTGTTAAAAATATATATATTAAATAGCCTGATTAATAATAGCTATAAAACATTTTTGTAATATTTTAATTATGTAGCAATCTAATTAAAGAAAAAAAAAGAAACAAACATAATAAAATATTTTGCTGTTGAATTACTACAATAAGATCTTTAAGCAAACCTTTTAAATTTAATGAGTAAGGCAGGGTAAACTAACTATGGATCCAGGAGCCAAACATGATTTGGGAGAGATTTTTGTGACTCATGCGACCCTTAAGAAAAAAATATTTTTTTTTGTTGGGGAAGTTATCTTAAGAAAGATGAGAAATACTTTTGCTTTAATTGCACAAAAAACAAATGGTACTTTAAACTACAGATCAATATAATTTTAATAAGGCTTCTATTAATATTCTAAGTTCTTGGAGTAATTTATTGCTGGACTATACAAAACGTATTCACTCTACCAGTCGTAAGGTAGAGTGAATGCCTAGTGCCATAGTCTTTTTACTTCCCAAAGAAGTAATGTTTATTTTATATATTGCTCATAGCACATGAAACACAAGCTGTGGTTGGTTACTTTGATTTTAGAACTTGAGCTGTGATTAGCTGGTGGTTCTAGGTGCTGCTGCAAAAAGTGGTTCCACTTTTTTGTTGGATTTGATCAGTTGATCTGTATCATGAAAGGGGTGACATGTCATGTAAATCTGGTTTCAAAGTACTTATGTTTATAGTTCTCAGTGGTCAAAACTATATACAGTGACTTGTAAGTTGGACCCCAAAAATGAATGTCTACAAATAAAGAAAGGTTTTGGATGATCACAGGGCATTTAACTTGAATTTGGTGGAAGAATTTTTTTTTTATTGAAAACAATGGAAAACTGCAGTGTCTTGTATGTTTACAAACTATTGCTATACCAAAAGAATACAACATTCTGTGCCATTATGGCACAGAACACAAGATCAAGTATGACCAGTATGTAGGAGAATCTTGGGCTAATATTTTGAGACTTCAAAAGAAACATGAAAAACAAAAATGTGCTTTAAATGCATATGCAAAATTTCAAACTGCAAGTCTTACTGCATTATGTGAGGCCTCTCTGATGTTTGGTTAAAATGAAAAAAATCATTTAGAGACAGGTAGACGTTCAGAAAGTGTATCATTACCTCATCAGACTATGGCAAGGGGAGTAAGTGAAATAAATGAACATGTTTCCTCCAAACTAAATTTTATCATTCAGAAATGTAACTACTTTTCAATAGCTTTGGATGAATGCACGAATATCAGTGATATTTCTGAAATGCTGATTTTTATCCTCATTATTGATGAAGATTCCATCATACATGAAGAACTCCTGAAGATGGAACCTTTGGATAGCAGTAGAAAAGGATCTGATGTTTATGCACCACTTGTCTCTGTTATTAATGAAGATGGTAGGTTTCAGAAGTGCTCCTGCATTGTGACTGATGTTATAAAAGCAATGACTAGCAATAAAATGGGAGTTGTCAGTTTGCTTAAGAAAAATGAAGTGGATACTCCCACTCTTCACTGCATTATACACTAGGAGCATTACGTGGAAGATTTTGAAGATGAGTGACATAATGGACAGTATTGTCAACATAATAAACATTGTAAGAAGTGGTAACAAATCCCAACGAATTAGGAAATTCATATTCATATCTTTTTTTAGAAGAAGTGAATGCAACATTTAGTGATTTACTATTGCACTTGACTATCAGATAGCTAAGTGGAGGGAAAATATTTTCAGCATTTCTTTTCTTCTGCATCCATCAGAATGAGCAGATTGGCAACACTCACCAATATATTGATCAACTGCAAGATAAAGACTTCCTTTCCTCATTGACATTCTTGATAGACATGACTGATCACTTGATCGTGTTGAGATTGTAAGGTAGGCAGTAGAGTGTCTCCAAGCTGATGAGACTTGTCAAAGCTTTTTGAAAGAAATTACATCTATTTAGTGTGTGTCCCAAGAAAAATTATATTACCCACTTTCTTTTTGCCATGAATTGTTGGTAAATAATAGCACAGCAGACTTTTCAACCTTTGCAGAAAAAAATGTAGAATATTTCTGCTGAGTTTGAAGGAAGATTTATGGACTTTGACACATTAAAGCTTGAGCTGTTTAACAACCCTATGGAAAACACTGTTGAGACACAGCCATCAGATCTTCAGCTGGAATTATGTGAGCTGCAATCTGACCATTTTTTATTAGCAAAGAGAAACAAGAGTCATGATAGTTTCTGGGTGTTTGTTTACAGGGAGCATTTCCCAAAACTAAGACACATTGCACTCAAAATGTTTTTAATGTTCGGAAGCATATATATATATATATCTGTGAAAGCACTTTTTTCTGTGATTAAGCAAGTGAAATCAAGAAACAGAATATGATGGATAATGACACACTCAACATGTGCATTTGACTCTCGACCTTCAACATTGAAGTTGATTTTGTATCACTAGTTAAAGAAAAGCCTCAGCCCTAGTGTTCTTAATAGCTCATTTTCTCTGGTTAAGATAGGGGTCAGCTTCATGGTCTCACTAACAGGAAAGACTGAAATCAAAATATATATCTTATTTAAAGATAAAATGAATAGGCAAGGTAAATGTTACAGGATACAATTGTATCAGACTTTTGTAATTATACGATCTTTTTAATAGCCTTTAAAATTAGGTTAAGAGTATTCTTTGGGTTCACAGTGCTTAAAAAGCTGGACCACCTTGGAGTAAAGTATCAACAATTTGTTATAGAAGTTGTTACAAGAAAGAACAATTTACAAATTAATATGATACATTATAGCATAACAATAGGATAGGTTAATTTAATGTATTCTGTTAATATTAAGTAGATCTTTGTTTTGTTTAGTAATTTTACTAAAATAATAGTTTTCATTGTATCTTATAAACATTCTAAATTATTTTATTAAAATATGTTTTAATTTTATTCTTAAGTATAGATGAGACTAAGATGTCAAATAGTACAGCCACCTGTACAGACAAAAGTGGAAAAAGCAAATTAAATTCATATTATAAAATGTTAAAATTCAGTTTTTAAATGAAACCATCAAATATATAAATTGAGATGTCTAAAGAAATTATTTAAAAACAAAACTTACTGTAGCAAGCTCTCTTTGTTTAAACGGAATGACTAAATGCACTCAATTACAGGTATATGTAGAAAACATTGACCTTGCACTCTCACCTTTGTACCTAACTAGTTACTGTTTGCTCTCAACTTGTTTGTAATCACCAGGATATTTTGATCTGCTTGTAGGTAGTTTGTATTATTGGTCTTTGTTTCTACGTCTTACCTGGCTTCTCTCTCTTTCTCTCTTTCGTACTTGTTTAAGTAGGAGGCTCTACAAACAGTGATAGTGTCCCAGACAATCACAACTGTGACTATGAACCTGCTTTGGAGTTTGATGATACAGAGTTACATGTAATAGAATCACCACATTCAGGTATGGGTTAAATGGTTTACATTCTGAATTATATTGATCTCATATTTTTGTAGATGAAAAGTATTGTTAGCCTTAAGACTTGTGTAGTAATAATTATTGTCACATGACGTATACTTCACAGAATTTTTTGTGTTTTCATTTAGTTGTTTGTATTTCATATCAGAATTGCCTGGAACTAGAGGTTCTCTTTTGTTCAAGCCTGTAATATCTAATTAAATGTAAGAAAACTGGATGTGATTTTTGCACTAAGCCACTATGATAAAGTTTTGTTCAGTTCTCTGAATAAATGTTATTATTATTTAATCAATGTAGTTTTTATTCTTATGGTTAAAGTACTTTGACATTTGTAATTGTAATAAATCTGTTCCTGTTTCATAGAAAATAGGTTGGTAGGAAGGATTTTTAGACATTTGGGATTTTGTTTGGCTTTTATTTTGATGAAGTTATGTTACAATTTGATTGAGTTTCAAAGAAGTACAGATAGCATCAGTCAATTCTCACAAAACACAAAGTTATCCTTAAAATATGTGACATTTTATTATTTAAGTTTTAAGTAAGGTCCACCTTTATTACAGTATTTATATCAGGGGTGAAATTCTGCTGGTTCTGACCAGTACTGGTTACCAAAACTTATTTTCAGGGTGGTACTATTACTAGGACTTATTTGAGCTGCTTTGTCGTTTTTTATGTTTACACATATATTTTCTTTTTTTTAAAAACAGGTCCACTTCACCCGGTTGAGTACCTCTACTTTTTTTTAAGAATTTAACCCCTGATTTATATCATTTACTGATTCTCATATAATTTTGTGTAAAAGCAGAATTGATTTACATGAAAGAAAATGTGCCATTTTGTTGATTTTTTTATTTACAACTAACTTTATGGTTAAATAAATATACTGTTTTTTGTTTTATGATGTTATGAAAAATTTTGGGTTCTCTACTAGATTTCTTTACATATTTTATGTGCAGAATAAACACTTGCAATGAATAATCCAATCATTAAACTTCAGAATATTTTCTAAATCTTCATAACAGGTCTGCAGAATCACCAAAATCTTCAAGACACAGACCCTTAACCTTTGGACTTTTTTTACTTGCTGCTAATTTCTTGGGTGGGAGACAAACAGTACACCTTTCTTCATATTAATTAAAACAAACTTTATTTTAACTTAATTTTTGAAATATATATATATATTATATAATCCACATACATTATTGAATAAAGCAATGACTTTTATAGCAGTCTTTGATTTCTGGACTGTGTATGAACATTGGAATTTTGTAAACATGTCATGTTGAAAATTGTTTCTTTGCTAGAAAACAGTAGTATTACCAACAGAGATTAAGTCATTGTACTATAAGTGTTGTGTTTATTTGATTCTTTTTTCTAAGTTTATTAAATTAATATAAAATATAATGAATTTACACATGGCTTTAATAGCAGGGCACATAGCAAGACAAGGCTTAAGAAATGTTCTTTTCGCCAAGAAGCAGTGATGTATTAACAATTGCGATGTTTTGTATGAAAGAGAAGATGACCATCCTAATTTCCAGTAGGTGAGGCTATGTGCAAGGCCTCTTATTTATTTAAGTTCGGATAGTTCTTTTTTCTGTGGATAAATTGGATGGCACTTCTACAGCCCTTTTTCATAGCTAGAACTGGACAATTAACTCATCATGCAGTTAATCAATATAAGCGACTGCCTGTGAGAATTGATTACTTCAATTAGTGTTGCATAAAACAATCAATCAATCAAAATTAGTGTTTCCAGTTATTACTGATTTCAATTATACAAGTAAACAATATGTTACCAGTATGATATCCCATTATTATTTTTGATTTATTCAAGGTTGTTCAGTTTGATGGATTAGTGTTGTGGCTCACAAAAATAATAAACTAATCAGGACTAGTGTTTCTGATTATCACTATTTTTGATCCAACTCTTATATGAGGATAATAGATTAGTTAAATGTAATAAGTTAATGAGCACAAATATTAATTGATTAAAAAATTTCACTAATAATCAGGCCTTATTGAATAATGTTCTATGCTGTATTTTTAGTGTTTCAAGTTAGATGTTAACTAGAGGGTGCATAATGTTAAAATAGGCTTAGAACACCTATAAAATTGTAAATTTGATGTCAAGAAGCTGGTAAATTTGGGGAGTATCAAGAGATGACAGTAGGTTATAAATATGAGAATCAGTGAAGCACCGAGTCAGTGTTTTCTTTCAGCTAGCAGTGAATCAGTCATTCAGTCAAGTATTTAGTTTCAATGATTGGATCAGTGTTAGTTATCAAATTTATTAATTTTTATGATGTAATTAGCTTTGAAATTGTACGAGTAAGTTTATTTTTACATTAGTCAAAGTAACTTTAGCCAATATTTCCTTTTTAATGTCATCTGTAAATTTAGGCCTACAAGTACAACTGTGTACAAGTGATACTGATAGTAGCCAACATATTAAGCAGGAAATAAACTAATTTGTTATTGTTATACGGACTGGATTTGGCCTTATTTTCATTTGATAATTTAAGAGAACTAACCAACAAAAGAAGAACAGCACAACAATAACATAAATATTGATAATTTTAAGTTGTAAATTTTAAAGTGTACAGTGTGTTTTTGAGGCTATGCTTAAAGACATGTTCTCTTATTAATGGAACTTAAACTGAATTATAGTGTTGTTGAAATATTATACAGATACAGGTATATATTTTTATTTAGAAGAGATAAAAACTGCTAAAAGTTTCAGCTGAATAACAACATGAACTGTCACTTGTATATTTACATTTAAAGCTTTTACACTCTGTGAATTAAAAATGCTTAATAACAGCCCATACATAAGCAAACCTAAAATATCATTATGCAAGACTACTCTCTAATCTTAAAATAATAAATTGTATCTGATGTCTTCGTGTATAAGCTACTATTTCTTAATCATCTTTGCATACACGTGGTACCTTAGAACATATGAATGGCTCAACCCAAAACATTACTTTGCTCATTCCATTTTTTAACAAGAGGGAATCCTCAATAGCCTTGGCTATAATTAGATCTCAAATTGGTCAAGAGATGAAGCTATGAGCTAAAGGTTTATACTTGAAAAACAACTCGGAGCCATTTTATGAGCTGCTATGCCACAACTAAAATTAATATATAGCCTTATTGTTATTCTAGACTAATAATGACCTTGAAAGTTGTATGAAAAACTATACATATTGTAAGCTCACTTTTTCACTAATCTTGTAGGATTAAAGATATTTCATTATTAGAAAGAATAAAAGCGTGCATATAATAGAACATAAGGTAAAAAATTTTTAAACGTTGGATAGTGATTGACAATTTTTGATCAGCTGCTTTGTCTTAAGTTGCTGACCTCAACTTTAAAGCCTGGAATTCAGCAAGATCTTATTCTAATCATATAATATTTTTCAGTATAATTAAACTTAATTAATTTTTATGTAAAATATAGAATTTATTTTTATTTAATGCTCTCTTAATGTTAAATTATTTGCTTGAACTAACATTTTTGTCAATACTTTAACACAGAGACAGAAGTCGATAAGAAAACAGAAGCAAGTGATAACGATGATTATCAGTTTCTTGAATCACCTTTATCTGATGAACTCATGGATGAAAACTTTGAAGAAGCCTTAGCTTCTACAGATAATGGAGAACTAGATGATGGTGATGACAGTGATATGGATGACTTTTCAGATATTGCCAAATATGGGATTGTAGAAATTGCAGGTAGGTTCATACCATTCACATGCATATTATGCAATCTTGAAATTACAGTCCTTGAAATTAGTGATGGCATATGACAAAGCTGTCTGAAAAGCTATGGTGCTTTATGAAAAATGCCAAGTATGATGGGGAACAAAAAAAAACTTAATTTTTTTCATTTAATTAAACAAAATTTTCCTGTGTATAACATTACTGAATAATACTTTATACAAAAAGAAAACTGTTGATAAATATGTAAAATATTTAATGATACAATCACTTCATCTTAACTATTGTGGGATGTCAGTTACTATTGGCTTCAGTAGATGATATTGTAACAAACCAAGAAAATCATTAAACTTGTTTGAGGTAAAATTTTGTACTACAGTTTTTCAAAGCATGGGCTTTATTTATCCAGATACTTCTGAGTGACTCTGTAAAGTGCTTTTACCTTAATAATAAATCTTTTTAGTCTATTAGAAAATAAGTATACTGCACAAGATAATAAGCGCTTTGTTTACTTAAACTTTTTTACTGCATTTCTATAGGTATGATAGCTTAATCACTATTGTCAAACTGTAAATTTAAAAATATTTCTAATATGCTTTTAAATACTTGAAAACAAAGTTTTTAGGACTCTTTCACTATTTTGCTAGTATTAAACTACATAGGTTTTGTTTTGATTATGTCTTGGTATGGAAGTTGAAACTGTAAGTGCAGATTGTGACAAAGCTAATACCTCAGGTTTAACTTGGAAAGTTGCCTCTAATTTTATGATTTCAGTAAAAATATTTAATCAGTATATAAATCTAATACAAGTTTTTACTTTTTTACCTTGTGGAGAACACTTCCTTTGTGCCTCACTCATGGATTAAACGTGTCTTTCAGGGGAAGAACCTCTTCAGAATGGACCATGGAATTTGTTGGATTATTGTCCTGATTAATGCACTTATTACTACTCAAACATAAATCTTCTTTATTAATCTGTAAGTGAAGTTTACATATAAGATGTTCAAATGTAATTAAAGTATTGGTGTTATGATTTGTGGAAGAAAAATTTAGGATCCTATTATATAGTGAGGCAGGCTTGTACCATTCTCATCGCATAAACTTAGAATTATTCTAATAATGCTTACAATGATAAGTACAGACCTTGTGAGAAAGTTAACCTTATTATTGTGGAGGTGTTTGAATTTGCTCCAGAAAACTATATATATATTTCAATTCAAAAACATAAAATGTGGAGATGGATCATAAAGTCAGTTTGGGTTAATTTATTCAAGATTTTTTTTTATTAAGTGGTACAAAGCTGAGAGAAATGCAGACAGAGTATTAAAATCTTTATGGTTAATGTACAATTATATAACTTTAAATATAGAAAGTTTGCTCGTGTAAGATTAAGTTTTAAGTTGTCAGTGATTATGCAACTGCTGAATGCAATGTCTGTCAAGACTATATGAAAAAAGCCGATAGATGGCCCGCCAGAGTATTGAGATAACAACATCAAATATGTATTCATATCATAATAGCTTCTGATGTAAGTTTCTCTATGAGAAGGATATAAAGAGCTCATTAGAGTTGTGGAAAGAAAAGTGGACAACAAAGAAGAGCTATTATCAGATGTGAAGATTAAGTTCAGGAAGGACTTTGTCAGATAAAAAAACTAGTTGTGCTTAGTTATGCATTAGGTCCTAAAATATAGCTTACAGAGACATAAAAATTGTAGGTGAATGTTCTGATAGGATACCTCACCTTCACACATAAAATAACTTGATCCGCCTTGAGCAAGCTACCACCTAAAAATCACATGTTTAACTTGAACTGCACCAGTGCATGATGGCATCATCATGCAATGATAGTCCTCTACTAATAGGAGGATGACATAACCTCCTTGTGGAGTAATTCTCCCCTGAGCATTTCTGCTTGAAATAACTTCATTGGTGTCTCATCTTTCTCAACCTCACCCTTCTGTTCATGTTACTAGGCCTGCTCAATCCATGATTCCCTTACCCATTCCTGCTTCCTGTTCTTCTTTTTGTCCCCTCCTCCCACTTCCTGATGTCAGGGTTATTTGTGACTACTCTGCTGGGTCTGGCCCAGTGGCCATCCATCTGTCTTGCTTTGCCAGCCTTTTATTTCCATTTTTGGCCAACAGATGGGTTCCTTAAGTTTTCACCCACAGCCTATCTTTCCACTTCTCTTCCACCTTTCTCTTCTTTTGATGTTTCTTTTCTTTTTCATTCCAACCCCGTTTATCTTCATCATCTCGAGGATTAGGTCCCTGATCTCTTGGCCAAGAATACCATCAAGAGAGTATTTAACCCTACTGTGGGATATTACTCTTGTCTCTCTGTGTTTCCAAAGAAGATCAAGGACTAGTGTCTGGTTATTGACCTTTGTCTATCAACTTGTTTCTAATTTTTTAGTGGTTCTGGGTTCAAATTCCTGTCGCACCAAACATACTCGCCCTTTCAGCCTGTGGTCAATCCCACTATTTGTTGGGATGTTGTTCATGCTTAGGCTTTATTTCTACTGTGGCATTTGGAGTCTTGTTACTGTCAGGAGATGGAAAGGAACATACCTGAGAATGAAATTCAGAAAGAGATTTGGCAGACAAGACAGGAGTAGAAAGCCCTTTAAGCATGTTGTAATCCACAACACACTGAACAATGGCTGCAACAACTTTTTGCCTGCATTCTTTATTGTTTTTATTTTTTCACTTTCTGATTCACAATTCTTGGGTTGAACTTGTCTTTTCTCCTTACTTGTTTGTAGATTTTATACTTTTTCCTTCATCTAATAGCTTCTTTCTCACACCGAAATGCTTTGACCCCCTCATGTTTGTGACTGCTTTTGTGCTGATTTGTAGATTTCTTCCCTTCTTTTTCCGAATTCCCTGCCATTGGTATCTATCTGGCAAGCTAGAGAATCAAGGTCTTTAATTTTTATTTCACTTTCTAGTTCCCCATTTTTGCATTTTTCATCTTTTTCTCTCTACCTTCTATATTCCCTCTCTTAACTCCACCTTTTATCAGAGGCACTTCTTAATGCTTCTGTAGGCTTTTGTAAGCATTCATTCCCTTCTCTGTTTGGCCTCTTTCACTTCTTCTACTCTATCTCTCCATACATTGTTCCCCTGCTGTCAGGATTCATTTTGTTGGACTACATTCCTCTTTACCGTACCCCTTTCTTCTTCTTGTGTACTTATTAATCATTTGGTTCCCTTTTGTTACCTAGATGTCATCAGTGATGTTCCTTTCCCCCTTGATGATCTGATGTTATGAGACATCTGTTTCATTATCTACCCAGGTTTTTTTCTCTTTCTCGACTTTGTCTTTTACTCCTATTTCTTGTCTAGATCAGTTTTTTCTCACATTTCTACTCCAAGTTCCAGGCCTTCCTCTTTTTTTTCTTCTTGTCTTTCCTCTTCCAGAAGTCTTGTTTGTCACTTCTCTTGCAAGTGACTATCATGCACAAACATTTCTCTTCTCTTGCTGTTGGTCTCAATTTTTGCTCACAGTTGTTTTCCATATAGTCTCTTTCCTCACTCCCCTTTCTCTTCACTTTTCTTCCCATTTTCTTCCATTTGACTCAACGTAGTCTATTCTCATATTTGTCGGTATTGTGAGGGCCTTCACTTCCCATAATCATGGTCCAGGGCTAGTGTCCCTTTCCTTTAACTGTTTATATATGTTAGCCAATTCTCAGATGTTTCCTCTTCTCCTGTCTCTCCTCTTTTACTGTGGCTACTTGAGTGGGAGAGGGGGACTAATTTTGTGATATCAGTTCTTTCTCACACTCACTCAGTGTTGGGTACTTTTGGAGATTTTCATCTCTCATCTGAACTGACTTCAGCCTATTTTCTTCACCTTTGAGCTATGGTGTATCTGGTCACCAAGTTTTACAGTTCTCATTCTCTTCCTGCTTGAATGGTTCTTTTGCTTTTGAGGACTCTGGCTTCCCTAGAATTCCTCATTCTTTACATCTCTTACAGTAGATCTTGTGGACCCAAGGTTTTCTTTTTTTTTTTTGTACTTTGTCCTCTTTTGTGAAATTCTCCTTAAGGAATTATCATGGTGACTGGACCCTACCCATACTGCTTTCTGTGTTTAGTACAAAACCCAGAAAGTCAAAGTTCAAATGGGGCATACAAGAGATTGTGAAAAAACCTCATTAAGGTCTCAGTCAGGCAAGGGAGTTGGGCAAGGAGGACTAGGGAGAAAAACAAGTGGAATGGAATGGAGAGGACAGGGGAGGAAACACCTCATGGTACCAGAAAAGGAGAAAGCCCATGGACAGAGTCACCCAACAACTGGGAAAGGTAAGAAAAGCAGATAGGTGGTGCACCAAATTACTGCAAGAAGAAAAGAGGAAGTGGAAGGACCAATGACAAAGGACCTGTCACAGATGGTGACAGACAAGTACAGTGGAGTGACAAAAAGAATGTGACAAGAATAATGTCACTTTAGCAGAAAGTCCAGCCTGACACGAGTCAGATTGGGCAAATTCCATGTGTCAGGGTAGAGGAAGGGAAGTAAGAAGGTGAAAAGCAAGAGAGAGAAGGAATATTGGGAAGAGGAAGGGAGGTCCAAATATCAAGCAGGCCAAGGCTAAAGCAATCAAAGAGGCACCAACAATAAGGCCCAAGAAGAAGAGTAGGGTGTAAATCTGAGGGCCAGAAGAAAGAGACAATAGGGGAGTAGGTATAAAAAAGAGGTAAACCAGGTCTGGCTGAGAAGTTGAGAGTCAAACCCTACGTATAAGAAATAAAGGACTAAAAGAGAGGAAGCTCAGAAGGGCATCAAAATCATCCAAGATGGATGTATCCAACAAAGGGTAAACTCCTCAGAAGATCTAAGGGTGTAGAGGTTATTCTTTTGGTAGAATACAGACTGGGTCAGAAGTGTATGGTTAATGCATGAAAAAAAAAAACCAGAACAGGAGCAACAAGGACAGTTGGAGCAAGAAAATACTGTGAAATAGGTTGAGTGAAATATGACCAAGTGAGCTGTTAGTAGGGGTAG